CAAGAGTAATAATAGTATTAATAATGAAGCCTTAATAAACAGTCATTTTTAGCGTAAGTCAGGCTGGCACAAGTGGTCGTCCATCAGTGAGGCGGGTGTAACATGAACGCTTCTCATGACGTTTTATCGCAGTGACATCATGACCCCGCTGTACATGACGGTCATTATATCCTGCCAGGCCATCATGTTGAGGGTCCACGCCATTAAAGCCGCTGTTGGCGTCTTCTTATTCCCACTATGTAATATATCATCTATTCTTCAGGGCTGGTGTTGACTCTGCCTGTGATCTATACGATATTGTGAGGCCAAAATTTATGCATTGGTTTTCGGTACAAAGACAAAGATGTTTTTTTTTTTTATTATTATTTTCATGTCAGGTTTTGTTTTTGTTTTTAGAGATTAATTTGTGCTTCAGGCGGTGCAGGTGTTGGTAAGGCTGATTGTTTTTTTTGTGTGTTTTGTTTTTTGCTTTGTATTTAGTTGTGCAAAAGATAGATTAATCAGTGGTGTTTAATATATAAGAGACGGTGATGGTGGATTTAGCCTAGATACTAAATCCTACGCTACCTATGGGGGAGGATGGGTTAGGTTAGGTTAGGTTATCATATAGGATGGTTAACCATAAGGTGAAATAAGCTGAGAGAAAGAGAAAGAGAGAGAGGGAGGGGGCAAATCTTCAGGTGATCCGTATAACGTTAGTGTATAGTTTACCTGTGAAGCTGAGTTACTCACCTGATGTCTCGTGAGATAAGGACCACACACACACACACACACACACACACATACACACACACACACACACACACACACACACACACACACACACACACACACACACACACACACACACACACACACACACACACACACACACACACACACAAGGCAGCACGTTGTCCTCACGAGGCTCAACTACTGTGTGTGTGTCACCTTGTTGATTTTATCCCAAAGGCAATTAAGATAAATAACGAAGACCTCAAGTTGCACTCTTCCCATAAGACTGTTAGATAACTGTGTGTGATGTCTCTCTTGTTCAGGACGGGGTGTGATGTATGCCTGTTTCTCTCTTGTTCAGGACGGGGGTGTGATGTATGCCTGTTTCTCTCTTGTTCAGGACGGAGACATAATTTTACTTGTTTTTATTTCTATTCACTTACTGTACATTGATGGTGAATTATTATTATTATTATTTTTTTTGGGGGTGGGGGTCATGTGGAGATTAGGTTAGGTTAGGTTAGGTTAGGTTTGGTTAGGTTAGGTTAGGTTAGGTTAGGTTAGGTTAGGTTAGGTTAGGTTAGTGTTAGGTTAGGTTAGGTTAGTGTTAGGTGTTAGGTTAGGTTAGGTTAGGTTAGGTTGGGTTAGGTTAGGTTGGGTTAGGTTAGTGTTGGGTTAGGTTAGGTTAGTGTTGGGTGGTTGGGTTAGGTTAGGTTAGGTTGGGTTAGGTTAGGTTGGGTTAGGTTGGGTTGGGTTGGGTTAGGTTGGTGTTAGGTTGAGTTGGGTTAGGTTGGGTTGGTGTTAGGTGGTTAGGTTGGGTTAGGTTGGGTTAGGGTTAGGTTGGGTTAGGTTGGGTTGGGTTGGGATTGGGTTAGGTTAGGTTGGGTTGGAGTTGGTTGGGTTAGGTTGGGTTGGGTTAGGTTGGTTGGGGTTGGGTTAGGTTAGGTTAGGTTAGGTTAGGTTAGGTTGGGTTGGGTTAGGTTGGGTTGGGTTGAGTTGGGTTGGGTTAGGTTAGGTTGGTTAGTAGGTTAGGTTAGGTTAGGTTAGGTTGGGTTAGGTTAGGTTAGGTTAGGTTAGGTTAGGTTAGGTTAGGTTAGGTTAGGTTAGGTTAGGTTAGGTTAGTGTTAGGGTGGTTAATCTTAAGGTGAAGTAATCTGGGGTGTCTAATCTTCTGCTAATATTTCTATTCATTACAACACCATAAATTTGTATCATTCATTCCACTTGGATACAACCAGGGTTATTTATATATATTTTTTGGAAGAATTTTTAGAAACACAACCAACAATTCGGGTCTTTTACTCATTTTTCTTCAGTGTGTGACATCTGGAACGAGCAATTAACTTTTATGGTTGAGCAGCGAGGTGGTGACAACTGCAGTAATTTATTGTTCACGTGTTTAAAGGCTGTTCATGAGCCTTATTGAACGACTGTCTTGATAAATGGCCGTATTAACCCGTGAGAGAGAGAGTTAAAACTTATTGTGTAGGGCTTAACAGTGTGTGTGTGTGTGTGTGTGTGTGTGTGTGTGTGTGTGTGTGTGTGTGTGTGTGTGTGTGTGTGTGTGTGTGTGTGTGTGTGTGTGTGTGTGTGTGTGTGTGTGTGTGTGTGTGTGTGTGTGTGTGTGTGTGTGTGTGTGTGTGTGGTGTAAGGATAATCGCCCTATTAAAGATTCAAACATCAACACAGTATCGTAAAGGGAAATAAATATGTTGTGTTTGTTCTGTCATAACTCCATGGGATTAACACACACACACACCATAACTAAACATTCATCATCACCACTGATTACCATTGACCACTATTTAACCAGAAGGTCATGTTGGCGTTCGACTTATACCTGAACGATTAAAAGTTACCTGTCAAGTGTTGTCAAGTGTTGCTTTGTGTTGCCAAGTGTTTTCCTGTATTGTCAAGTGTTGTCAAGTATCACTATACTCTACTGAACACAACACTGAGGCCAGTACCATGAAAACACTAGAACAGTCACAAACACTCTCTCTCTCTTCTGTCAAATTGTTCTTCTCTCAAACTGTTCTTCTCTCAAACTGTTCTTCTCTCAAACTGTTCTTCTCTCAAACTGTTCTTCTCTCAAACTGTTCTTCTCTCAAACAATAAACAGAAGATCACTCTATAAACCCAGCCGCCATTATTCTGTCCAGGGAGTAAACAGAACTGTCCACACACACACACACACACACACACACACACACACATCACCAGGGATAATTTATCTGTACACTCGTATGTATAAATAACTTCTTCGCTAACCTTAAATATCCCTATGTTACAAGTCACCACCCTCATCGTCTTCCTCCTCCTCCTCCTCCCTCCTCCTCCTCCTCCTCCTCCTCCCCTCCTCCTCCCTCCTCCTCTCCTCCCTCCTCCCTCCTTCCTCTTCCTCCTCTTCTTCCTCCTCTTCTTCTCCTCCTGCACCTCCTCCTCCTCCTCCTCCTCCTCCTCCTCCTCCTCCTCATCTTCCCTTCTCTTCCTCCTCCTCCTTTTCCTCCCCCTCCTCTTCGTCTTTCTCATTCTCTTCCTCCTCTTCTTCCTCATTCTCCTCTTCCTCCTCCTCCTCCGTCCCCATTCCCCCTCTCCCCTCCACAGTGAACAAGGTGGAGGAGGAGGTGAGAGATGGAATCTTAACTAATCTCTCCCAATTAACCTGTAACACTAAGGTAGCATCAACATTAACCTGAAATAACCATAACTGGATAACTTTTTTTAAAACCCTTATTGACTGAAACAAAATCAACTCCAAACTGAGAAGAAAAAAAACCAATTACATCCTTATGCTTATTTTTGTTTTCGTATTATTTTTTTTAGTAATTTAGTCAAGGTTAGTATACATAGAGCTAGATAACGCAGCTAGAAAAGACGTAGGGTTGTTTGAGAATGTTATTGGTCACTCCTCAGCCAATAGTATGTCTGGAATACATCGATCTCACCTGGTCAGTGCAGGTGACTCGCCCCAGCTGAGGTGCGCAAGGACGGAACACCTGTATGTTTTGTAGTGTTGTCGTTATCATCTACACACATCCAACAGATTCCATTAATAAAAGGCTTAAGTTTACTAACCTAACCTAACCACACACACATACACATCAAGTTTATGGGTCAATACTTCACGTTGTCAATAACTGCAGGTGTCAGCCCCTCTGAAGCCCAAGAAGACTGATGGACACACAAACACTGGGTGGAACTGTCATGTTGACTGGTTGAAGCTGTCGTACTCAGTGTGGAGTTATCGTTCTCAAGGGGTTGATTTACATTACTCTGGGCTATAAGAGGTTAAGTAATCACACTTACAGGTTAACGTTGCGGCTGAAGGGGTTAAGTTGGCCTACATGTTTGTTTGTTGTTGTTTTTTTTATATTCCATAAGTTTACTGGGTTAATTTATTGTACTCAAAGGGTTAGATAATTATGTTCAAAGGGTCAATCTATTGTACTCAAAGGGTTAATTACTGTACTCAAGGGGTTAGATAATTATGCTCAAAGGGTTAATCTATTGTACTCAAAGGGTTAATTTATTGTACTCAAAGGGTTAGATAATTATGTTCAAAGGGTTAATCTATTGTACTCAAAGGGTTAATTTATTGTACTCAAAGGGTTAGATAATTATGCTCAAAGGGATAATTATTGTCCTCAAAGGGTTAGATAATTATGCTCAAAGGGTAAATCTATTGGTATCGAAGCGTTAATTTATTGTACTCAAAGAAAGTTATCATAATTAAGGAGTCACATTGTGTTTCAGTCAGGCCTCCATGTCATCATATTCAGAATGTTTACATAAGTCAGGTCATTATACACACACACACACACACACACACACACACACACACACACACACACACACACACACAGAGCCTTGGCTAGTGGTAGTGAAGGGGATGTAAGCAGAGCAAGAGGCATGACACAGCAACACTCAACATTCCTCACTCACATAACAGTCTACCAAGGTCAACCTCGACTAAAATTAGGTGTTTCTTGAGTGTCTGATTAATTTATGACATTTCTCGGGGCGATGATGTTCTTCCGACGACGAAATTGCTCTCGTAATTACACACCAGAGTCTGTAGTTGTGTGTTGCTGGCGGGGGACGCGATGGTACAGTAGTTATCATGTATACTGCCCCTGCTGCTGAAGGTGAATTGCCCTCATTACAGAACGAGACTGATACCTGTACTGCGTCTTTTAGTAAGGAAACAAAAATGATATGAAAATTTTGTTATGTTGTTGTTTTTACCACGTTAACGAGGGTGTCTTCTGTTGCGTCTCCGTCAG